TTATCCGATATATATGGCGCCTTCTGTGCCTAAGTTCAGTTCGATTACATCGTCTCTAACACGCGGTTTGTGCGTCTCATCAGCTCTTATACTTTTGTACTTTAATTAATTAATAAATGTGTTTTTAATGACCTGGAATTTTCTCACTTGTGGTTATAACCCAATGAAGTGTATTTCCATCTAACAAAAGCAAATCATCAAAACATGTAAAATTTGTAGAGGTGTGCAAAAAGCTCGAAACCCGAAGCTCGAGCGGGTATTTTCGAGCTTTTCATTTTTCGAGCCAAGCCGAGCCGAGCTTTATAAAAAGCTCGAATAATTTCAGGTACTCGAATTTTTCGGGTACCCGAAACTTTCGGGTACTCAAAATTTTCGAGTACTCGATTTGATTCGAGCCCTTGAGAAAATCCAAAATTTTCTACATTAATTTTTAATTAAATTTAAAAAAAAATAATTTTTAATTTAAAAGCTCGAATTAAATCGAGTACTCGAAAATTTCGGGTACCCGAATTCATTCGAGTACCCGAAATATTCGAGTACTCGAAATATTCGAGTACTCGAGTGAATTCGGGTACCCGAATGTTTCGGGTACTCGAAAATTTCGGGTACCCGATACATCGAGCCCGGCTCGGCTCGGCTCGAAAAAATTCCGGCCCGGCTCGGCTCGGCTATTCGAGCTTTTTGCACACCTCTAAAAATTTGTGATTTTTAAAATTTTTTGAAAACATTTTTATACTTCAATCTTAGTTATAAGATATTATTTTTTGAAAAATTATGCTAAAATGTGACTAAATAACATGTAATGATTAATTATAGATAGTTTAAAAGCAGTCCATTAAAAAATATAAAATTTAGAAATTTGCGATTTTTTGAAATTTTCGAAATTATTTTTATACTTACATGCTAAAATTTGACTTAATAACATGTAATACTCAATTATAGAAGGGTTTAAAAGCAATTCATTAAAAAACATAAAATTTGAAAAATTTCGATTTTTTGAATTTTTTTAAAAAAAATTTATACTTACATCTTAGTTATAGGACATTATTTTTGGCAAAACTATTCTAAAATGTGACTAAATAACATGTTATACTCAATTATAGAAAGTTTGAAAGCATTTTTTAACAAAATGTAAAATTTGAAAATTTTTGGTTTTTGAATTTTTCGAAAAAATTGAATATCTCCGGTTCTAATTAATATTTTTCAAATCTGTAAATTTATAAACCTTCCTTGGTCCAAGGTCTAACATTCTGCCAAATTTGGTTTCAAATGGTTCAGCCGTTTTTAAGTGATTCGCGGACAAAGATTCTGCGACATACGGGCATACATACATACATACACGAAATTTTTTATTGGTATATTTGGAATCCTTGATGCCTAAAACGAATAATTATGTGCGAAATTTAAAGTTCTGAGCAATGTATAGACAAAAGTCTGATTTTATATATATATAGATAACTACAAAAAAGAATTTCAAATCGAAGAGGTATTTTTTTCAAAATTTTGATTCAAAATTTTTTTTTTAATTTTTTCGGGCAAAAAAATTTTTTTTTCTTTGTATTTTTTTCTTTAAAGTGCTTCTTATTATGAGTATTTTCCAAAAAAAATTATCCTAATCGGTTAACAAAGAAAAAAGTTATGTGCCTTTTTTAAAACCCGACCAAAATTTTAAGTGAGCGGTAACTCAAAAAAATTTTGAATATTTTTAAAAACATTTATACATTTTTATTCCATGTATATGAGGGAACAAATTCAGTAAGTATTAATAATATTGCTAAAATCATCGAAAATTCTTCAGATCACTTCCCGTGGAATCTAGCCTGCCATATGTGATATAAAATCGTCAAAGGATCACCCATGCGATTTTATGCTTGCCATACTCGTTATTTTTTGGTGAAGCAGGGGATAACATTTTCCTCCAACACGACCGCTGGAATAAATCATCCATTTCAAAGTTAAGATCCAACAATAATTCAAGGTGAGACACATTATTAACTATTCGAAGAAGACGACGAGAATACCCTTCTTTTGGTCCGTATTTTATTATATTATTGTTGAGACCCAAGATAATTATTTTCAGTTTAATTGTTTACTTAAAACGTGCTCGCCTTAGAATATTTAGGATTAATTTTATTACACTATTTCTTTGAAGATTCGAAAACATATTTAATACATCCTTCGAGACCCCATAAAATTAAATGTATAATGTCGGATTGGTTTCAATAGTCTTATGATTTTAAACTTTTTTCCTTTGTCAATTTATCCTAAACTTTAATATGTTTATTTTGCAACGGCGAATTCCAACTATAAATTGAGGTACATCTACCTTTATACCTATCTATTGTAAATCTTTTACCCTGCCTACACCTAATTATGCTTTCCTCCCTTCTTTTCGTCAACTACCTATATCCCTTCCACTATCACTTCGCCCTTCCACTTTTTTGAAATTTTTGCTTCGAACCTTCTTCAATGTAAAACTCAAATTTTCACTAGCTTCCCGAAATAAATCGTTCTCGAGTGCACTTAACGTAATTATGCTCTCGACATTATGTACACATCAAACTAAAGTTTATTGTATTAAAGTTATTAATTATTAAATGCAAATCATTTTGTTCTTCCTACGATGACCTATCTATCATATCCTACACGGAACTCCGATAAATATTTATAATAACGAAAAATTATAAAATAAGATATCGGCACCGTCAACATTTTGGTCCTTCGACCCGGATCCAGTTTCCTAGTGGTCTGCTATAAATGGTCATCGTATTAGTGAACTGCATCTAAAGCACTTAAACAATACAATACAACTGAAACGAACATTTAACGAAAAAGAATGTTCTAAATTTGCTAAATTATTAGTGTATATCGTGAAAATCTTTACAAGTGACAATCAGTGAACTAATATTCACATTTTTAACATATTGTTACTGAACCCATTGTGAACGAATCAGTGTTTCAAATAATCCAATGAACGAGTATGGATTAATTGATTACTGAATAAAAATAAACTATTTAACGAGATATCTGAACGAGATACCTGAACGAGGTTCCTGAGAGAGTTAAAAGTTCGAGTCTGCAATACTATTCAAGGGATCATCATAATCATCGAATAGTGTACTTTGCTTGGTGCTTAATCAGTGACCAGTGGATATTAACTCTATTAGTGACTGTAAATTTTGATCTAAACCCATTGTATATATAATTGTGTAGTGAATTGTCAATTGTTAATCTTTTGCGTGTCCTGCAAGTAAACCATCGCCAGAATATCTGAAGGGTAAGTCTGTTACGTTCATTATCGAGTCACTATACTTTCCCGTTTATTTCTGATTAATCCATAAAATATTCTATCTCAGTGATTAAAAATGTCTGAATTAGAAAAGCGAATCATACAACTACATAGACAAAGAGGTACCTTAATAACAAAATTAACCATTTTTGAAAATTTACTCTCTAAACCCGCCGGGGAAATAAATTTAATAGAATTAAGTGCTGAACAATCAAGGGTACAAACATTATGGGAAAATTTTGAGGTTGTTCAGGGTGAACTAGAAGAAATTGCCTCGAAGGATAAAATTGATTCAGAATATGCAGAGAGAATCAAATTCGAGGAAAAGCTTACTTTATTGTCGGATAAAGCACAAACGATTCTTAAAGAGGTTTCTAGGACAACTCCTGTTACAAACGCTGTTAATGACATTAATTCTTCTATTAATACTGTTTCCATATCAGAAGCTCGATAATTAAGTGTACCCACTATAAATCTTAAATTGCCGTCTTTAAATCTACCGTCTTTCAGTAGTTCATAGAACAGTGGCCTGGATTTAGCGATATATTCAAGTCCTCCGTCGATGTCGATTCGCGATTCAAAAATTCTCAAAAATTAATATATTTGCGATCTTGTTTATCGGGAAGAGCTGCTGATAAAATAGAATCTCTCGAAACTACCGACGCAAATTATAGGGTTGCATGGAATATCTTAGAAAAGAGTTACGATAATCCGACCTTTGTAATTAACAATCATGTCAAATCATTTTTTGAGTTACCCAATTGTTCTAACGCCTCAGCAGCTGCTCTCGGTGAACTAGCAAATAGCGTAACAAAACACTATCGTGCCTTAGAAGCATTGAAAAAACCCTTCTTAGAATTTTTTCCAATATATGCAGTCGTATCAAAATTAGATCCGCAAACGCGTATAAAATGGAAGGAACACATACAATCAAATAATTCTCCGAATATGGAAGAATTAATTGATTTTCTTTATAGTCGCGAAAAAATTCTCGAAACAAACAAATCTTTTTCAAAATCTGAAAAATCAGAGAAGAACGTGCCAAAGAACGGGAGTCAATCTTGCGGCAAAAATTCTAAAAACGTTTATTTTAAGCCGAAAAACAATTCACTAATCATACTAATAATCGTGCTTTTTGTCATATCTGTCAGGAAGCTCACTTCACGCAAAACGAGGCTCTCGACAAAACTGAATTAAAAATTCCTTCAAATCTACAACTTGCTGATCCCAATTTTGATAAACCATCAGAAATCGATATACTTATCGGCCCTGAAATCTTTTTAAAATTATTGTGTCGGTCAAAAATCTTTATCTGATTATTTAACGCTTCAAAAGACACATTTCGGGTTGATTGTTGGCGGAAAAACGTGCGGTACTACCTTTCCAAGCACAGCTAAGTGCAATTTATCACTAAATTTATTACACAATAAAATGTGTGAATTTTGGGAAATCGAAAATGGTCCCACTAAAAAACTTCTTTCTCAGGAAGAAAAAGCGTGTGAACTTCATTATAAAGAAAACACTACTCGACTTCCTGAAACCGGGCAATATATAGTTAAATTACCAAAAAAAGGAAGATTTAAACGAGCTCGGTGAATCGTATAATTTTGCATTAAAACGTTTTTACTCATTAGAAAGATCCTTTGCTAAAGACGCCGAATTAAAGAAAAAATATTTCCCAGTTATAAATGAATATTTAGATTTAGGGCATATGTCCGAGGATTGTTCAGGTTCAGTTTTCGACGGTTATTTTTTACCACATCACGTTGTTTTAAAAAAATCTAGTAGTATTACTAGGCTTGTAAGGTCCAGTTAATTTACAACCAAAAATCTTAATGCAATCTTTATGGCAATTAAATTTGAATTAGGATGAAAATGTTCCTCCTGAAATAAAAACTTTCTGGTTAGAATATAAAAAACAATTATCTCTTTTGCAAGAAATTGAAATAGAACGGAAGATTATTATTATTGACAAATTTACCGCAGTCGAAATACATGGATTCTGTGATGCCAGCGAAAAGGCATACGGTGCGTGTATTTATCTTCGCTCTTGTAACGAAGAAGGTACTTGTTTAACGCAATTGGTTTGTTCTAAGTCTCGAGTTGCGCCTTTGAAAGTGGTATCTTTGCCGCGTTTAGAACTTTGCTCGGCGCTTGTGTTATCAAAATTATTGACAACCGTTTCTCAAGCATTACGTAGATTACCCATAAAACGAGTTATTCTTTGGTCCGATTCAACTATTGCTCTACATTGGATTAAAAGTCCGTCAAATAGTTTAAAAACATTCGTCCGAAATCGCATAGAAGAAATTTAAAGCTTAACACAATCACATGAATGGCGACATATTCGAACAAGTCAGAATCCCGCCGATTTAATTTCTCGAGGTTTGTCTCCAAAAGAAATAATTTCTAATTCTTTTTGGTTTAACGGACCTACCAGACTTAGTGAGCATGAGGAGAAATGGCCTTTGTCTCATTTTGAACCCATTGAGATTCCTGAACAAAAGAAAATTGAACAACAGCTAAAAGTAAATTTAACTCGCGTTAATTCTTTTTCTAATTCATTATTTGCGAAATTTAAATCATTTACAACTATGATACGCATTGTAGCTTACTGTAAACGATTTATTAATCTGAAATTACATAAACTCGATATAAAAAGTCCTCTCTCGTTATGCGAATTAAAAATCGCCACATTTATTGAAATTTCATGAACTTTTCAAATATGTAATTATTAATAACGAAATAATATTGATCAACGAAAAAAAAACATATGACATTCAATAGAAATTGAACGAAACTAAGATATATTTACATAATGAAACTCCAAAATACATGCATTTAGATTTAAGAATATTGTAAATAATAATTAAATGAAATAACACCACATTCTCATTAGTAGGAAACAATTTCTCATTTTTTAAAGATTAAGTGGAGAAAAAAAATTGAAAATCGAAAGTGTCCATCTTCGAGAAATAACACTTCTTAAGTTTAATTTCAAGTTTTTAGGTATTCCCTTTGCAGATTCGTTATCAATAATTGCATATTTGAAAAGTTCATGAAATTTCCGACAAATTTCATGTGTCATATTATTTTCTAACTTGAAATATTGAAGGAGAAAACCGGTTTTGAAAAGTCACTGTTTTCAAAAACATTAAATTTCAAAAATTAATAACTTCTGTAATTTTCATCAAATCACAAAATAAAAAAAAAGTATTTATTTTTTTTCGATACAGAATCCAAAAAAAATTATTCCAACGAAATCAAATTTTTTTAAGAAAATATTGTGGAGAATGCCCCTTTATAATCAAGATGTTACAGCGTGAAACATTTGCAACTGGAATTCACATGTTTGAATTAAAGGGTCAAATCAATGGGCATTAGCCCCACTATCTCCTTTTTTAGATTCCGAAGAAGTGTTAAGAGTTGAAGGCAGACTTAAACAATCAGATCTCGCCTTTTCTGAAAAACATCCTATTCTTTTACCAAGAGATCACGAATTAACGATAATTTTAATTCGAGATCAACATTTAAAAATGTTACACGCTGGAACACAAGCCACTTTAAATTCAATTCGAGCTTCTTTCTGGATTATAAACGGTAAAACAGCTGTTAAAAATATAATTCGGAAATGCGTAACTTGTTGTCGAGCGAAACCTCAGATTCCCACATATGTAATAGGAGATTTACCAAAAAGTCGAACAATCTTTAAGAAAGCTTTTCTTCATGCAGGTATTGATTATTGTGGTCCTTTTTTTATTAAAGAAAAAAAGTTGAGAAATCGAATTAAAGTCAAAATCTATGTAGCAATTTTTGTATGTTTCGCTACTAAATCTGTTCACATTGAAGTGGTAAGTGATCTAACAACCGCTGCTTTTCTTGCATGTTTGAGTAGATTTTTTGCTAGACGCGGAAAAAGTACCGATCTATATTCCGATAACGGCACTAACTTCACTGGTGCTAAAAAAGAAATCGATGCAATCTGTAAGTTTTTTAATTCTCAAGAGCATAATGATTCCATGAAAGAATTCCTTGCCAATCAACATATTATTTGGCATTTCATTCCCCCGCGTTCACCTCATTTTGGTGGACTCTGGGAAGCCGCGGTAAAATCTTTTAAGCACCATTGGATTCGCGTTATCGGAGAAAGATTGTTAACTTACGAAGAATTTACCACCCTTGCAACTGAGATAGAAGGTATACTAAAATCACGTCCTTTAACTCCGCTTCCTTCAGATCCTAATGACTTGACGGCTTTGACACCTGGTCATTTCCTCACAGGTGACTCTTTAATGGGCGTTCCAGAACAAGATTTGATAGATTTGCAGTCAGGCCGACTTTCGTCCTGGCAGCAAGTCCAACAAATAAAGCAATTATTCTGGACGCGATGGTACAAAGAATACCTTCATGAATTGACTGTTAAGAAAAAATGGCATAAGGGCTTCTCTACTGATATGAAAATCGGAAAAATTGTTACGATACGCGACAATTTACCGCCAATGCGATAGATGCTTGGTTGTATCATCGCAACACATTCAGGAGAAGACGGTGTTGTTCGCGTTATAACCCTTAAGACTATCAACGGCGAATGTAAACGTAGCGTAAAAAATTATCACCTTTGCCAATTGATATCGAGTAAAATTAAAGTAATATCATTCAGAATTAAACACTTATCTTAACTTCATTTATTAAGTTATATTTATCAATTCTGTCAGATTGTTATTTAACTTGTTATGGTTTATTCAAAATTTTAATGGCAATAATTATTAAAATTTAATTCTTTTCTTCATTACATAAACTACATTTTGAACTTGTAGTTCAAGTCGGCTGGCATGTTGAGACCCAAGATAATTATTTTCAGTTTAATTGTTTACTTAAAACGTGCTTGCCTTAGAATATTTAGGATTAATTTTATTACACTATTTCTTTGAAGATTCGAAAACATATTTAATACATCCTTCGAGACCCTATAAAATTAAATGTATAGTGTCGGATTGGTTTCAATAGTTTTGATTTAAAACTTTTTTCCTTTGTCAATTTATCCTAAACTTTTATATGTTTATTTTGCAACGGCGAATTCCAATTGTTACGGTTCGACTATAAAAAAATAACAAAAGATGACAATTTCTCTATAGCTTGCCAATTTATTAAAATAATTTAGTTTATATTAGCAATTTCAATAATTATTTAGACAAATCTCCGTTAATAAAAACATACACATATATACAGTTTAACAAAATACCGTCGCGATTTCTTTTAACATACAAAATTTAATATTTGATCACACATTCGCACACACCACACACATTTACACACATTCAGTCTAGTTTCTTGGATCTGATTTAATCACAAATTGTACAATAGTATAATAATAGGCGCTGCAGCGCAACTTACGAATACAATCGAATTATACTTATGATGTTCGTATCGCAGCAAACCGGAACTCAGGCAGCGTGAATAGTTTTATAATCTCCGATAATATTGTCCACCAATATTGCATCGACGGAGTATGAAGCATTCACCTGCTTGCATCGGTTGTATCAAAGCGTTGTGTATCAAAGACGATCCAGGGGATTCAGGAGATCGTCCTTCTTTCCACACGTACAAAAAAACCACGCTGCAAATTTTACATTCGAGATTTACAAATGCTCTTTGTAATTTACATTTTTTCATTAACAGCGTTATAATAATAATCGGCTTACCTCTTTAAACGTGGTTTTCCGATTATTCTTTGCGCAACTTGTCACAATTTTCAATTATTTATATAACTTTTAGTACAATATTTTAACAGAATAAATTTAGTTGTATCGAGTAAGTTTTGTTATAAAGTGATTAGAATATTATTAGTCAGGTCCATCGTCCCTACCTTGATCACATTTTCCCCCATTCACATCGACATTTATTCACATTACAATTTGGCGATTCGTCAACTATTACATACACATCGTTACTCATTCTTCACTTCTTTCAATCATACATACTATTCACAGATTCACACCGTTACATATCCTCCCTTTTGTTTGAGACACTAATTAATTTTGCATTAAACAAACGTCATATTTTTTGGAGATCACATATATGGCCCATAAAATATATGGAATAATTTATCGATTTCTCTGTTCGTCTTGCACGACAATCTCGGAACCCGTAATAATACTTTATCTCCCACTTTCAAAGATACTTTTGAAATTGACTTTTGGGATCGTTCGCTGCGCTTTCGCCCCGATTCCATTCTTTCATTTGCTATTTCTATCATCACTTCATGCGACTCGTCGACACCTTCAGGAAACTTTACAATATCTTCTAATCTATCACGTACTCGCTTTTCAAAATGCAACTCTATAGGGCTATATCCTGTCGCGCTACTCACTGACAAATTTATCCACTCTTCTATGTTCTTGACGTGTCTTGCCCATGCCGAATGACGTTCTGATCAAACCGTGCGAAACAACCTGCCGATTTCTCTCATAGTTCTTTCCGCAGGATCCGATTGTGGGTGCCTAATAGAACAATATAGCATTTCAATCCCTTTTTCCTCTAAAAACGATCTCCAAACCGCCGAGGTAAACTGTGTCCCGTGATCGTTCAACAAACGCCGCGGTTTACCTACGTCTTAAATATACTGCTCTATTCGATTAATGGCACTTTGTGTCGTTTCTCTTTTTATCGGATAAAGTTTAACTAGCTTAGAGAACACATCTAACACGACGAGAATATATTTTACGCCACCCGTTGACATAGGTAATTCCCCGAAAAAATCAATCGCTACCATTTCACCCGGACGTTCTGATTTTACATGCATAAATGCCCCTTTCATAGAATATGTTAAACTTTTTACCCTCTGGCACAGATCGCATGCACTTACTAGTTTTTTAACGTCTCTACTCATTCCTCGCCAATAATATAATTTTTCAAGTGCTTTTAACGTCTAATAACTCCCCATATGCCCTGATCTCTCGTGAATCAATTCGATTAATTCCTTCTGGAGTTGAACGGGAATCACAACGCAATATCGTATCTCATTTTTAGTTTTATGGAATAAAGCTCCATCATTTACGCAATAAAATTCTTTGTCTACGCTTTTCAGATTCGCTAAATCTCTGTCCTGATCCTGCAATTTTCCTATGTACTTTAACTCTGGTAAATCTATTTTATTCACCGCGGCAAGCTCAACGCACTCAAAATCGTCATCTGTGCCATTATTACTCACAAAATCCGTCAAAGCTACTATACTGTGGTCATTTTTTACTTCGTCATTTACGTCGGGAAAATACTGGCTAAAATAGTCCGCAACGATATTGTCTTTGCCCTTGCAATGACTGATGTCAAAGTCATATTCCTGAATAATAAGCAGCCATCTTATCAAACGGTGATTGTGAAACGGTGTGTGCATTAAAAACGTAAGCGCCTGATGATCTGTGATTAGGTCGAATTTTTGCCCGAGTAAATAAGTACGCAATTTCATTACTGCATAAATAATTGCTAACAATTCTAATTCTGTAGCTCCGTATGCTATTTCGTGCTTCGACTACGTTCGACTAATTAACGATATTATTCGCGGGTTTCCCTCTTCATCATACTGATACAAAACGGCACTGATGCCTGCTTTACTTGCATCAGTCTGCACTTTGAACTTTTTTTCTGGACTGTAATATTTCAATACTACCGTGTCCATAAATCGTTTTTTTATCTCTTGAAATGCCTGGCTATGCGCGGCCGTCCCCTTGAATCTATTTTTCGTACTTAAAATGTCTCGAAATGGCTCGACATAATTAGCATATTTTGCCACAAATTCACGATAATATTCTACGACGCCCAACGCTCTCATCAACTCCTCTTGCGACCTTAGTTCCGCCATTTTCTCGATTGCCCTTATTTTTCCCGGATTAGGTCTTAACCCATCAACGGATAAGATAAACCCCAAAAACGGTACCTCAGAACTACAAAAAACTGTTTTTTTCAAACTTAACCTTAGCCCGAACTGTTTAAATGTATACTTGTTATTTATTAATAATAATGTGATTACAGAATAATAGTAAAGCAAATACAAAGAGATGTGAACATGCACGTGAACACGTATATACAAAAGACATAGACGTAGAGACATGTGGATGGGGGTCTCGCAACACGGTCTCAAGCACAGCACACACTCCCCAAAGCATGTGGTCGCTATGCGCACCAATATTCAAATATTCAAACACCTCCCTCTTAAAGATTGTGTCGCCGAACGGGTTTTACAGTACGGCTATATCGTGAACACATTTTATCGATGATTTGATTATTACTGTTATTCGACTTGTTATTCAATACATGATTATCATTATTCGAGATGAGGTTTGTATCATTATTAGAAACAGGAGAATTTCTGGGAGTTTGAAAAATATCGTCGTTAAATTCTACATTGTTTGGAGAATGATGTAAATTTCTGTTAGTGTGTTGTTCGTTGATTACATAATTATCAAGCATTTGAATATTACTATGATATAATTCTGGTTCACAAATAAATCTGTATTTAGATGTAGTATACGAATGTTTAATTTGAGTAGTGTTTCATCTAACAATTTGATTATTTTTGTCTTTTTTAACCCAACATGATCTTGGTTCATCAGCTTTTTTAACAATCGTGCCTTTAGACCAAATTTTTTCTTTGTTAGTTTATATAACTACTTTCTCTCCTTCATTATAATCTGTAGAGGTTTTGCGCGCGAGTTTATCTAAGTTTAGTTTAGTTTTCTTTTTTTGTTCACAAAGTTGTTTATAAATGTGTTGCTGAATCTTAGGTTCTAACTGTTCGCTAGTTATCGGTAACTGTGTTCTTAAATTTCGACTTTGTAAGATTTGAGCAGGAGAAGCATCTAAATGTATAATAGGTGAATTGTTGTATTCTAATACACCTTCTCTATAATCATAATTATCTTCTATACTTTTTCTTAATATCTGTTTACCTATACTGACAGCTTTTTCCGCTAGACCATTGCTTTGGTGGTAATGTGGCGAACAAGTTTTCACGGTTATATCTTTATCTTAATAGAATTGTTTACAACGATTTGATATGAATGGTAGATTATCCGTAATTATCTTTCGAGGGTAACCGAAACGAGTAAACACGTCCTGAAATGCATTAATAACAGTTTCAGATGTTTTATCTTTTAATAATATTAATTCAAGCCAATGCGAGAAATAATCGATAACAGTTAAATAGTATTTACCACCAAAATCAAGGATATCTGCGGATATTTTATTGAATCTGAGTCTCGGTGACGAATGTGGCAAAAGAGGTTCTCTAAAGTTGGCTGGCATGTATTTTTCAAAAAAAAACGGCAACTTTTAATGTAACTTATTATATCTTTAGGTAAACCAGGCCAATAAAATATTTTACGAGCTTTGCTTATTGTTTTATTATTTCCTATGTGACCTTTATGTAATGTTTTAATCATTTCGGTTCTAAGGTTATTAGAAACAATTATTTTATCATCTACAAAAATGATACCGGCTTCAACATATATGGAGTTTCTAAAGGGGTAGTATGGCTTGCAATCTGCAGATAATTTGTTTTCTTTTGGCCAACCGTTATAATAATAGTCGTGAATTTTCATTAGAGTTAAGTCTTTACTAGTCTCTTGTCTAAATTGATCTTTTCTTTCATTACTCATAGGCAAATGTGTAGTAATTGAATGAATCATTTTTAACATTTCGGGATCATTATATTTTTCCGTCTTTAAACTTGATCGCGATAACATATCTGCAAATTGCACGTTTTTTCCAGGCAAATAATATACATTGAGTATTTTAATAGTTTTAGCGCAATCTTTGTAACCTAACAGATCCTATTTTATTTATTGGTTTTTCATAATTGATACAATGGGTTTATGATCAGATTGAACATCAATGTCATTTCTATATATGAAACTGTGAAATTTTTGTGTACCGTATTGAATCGCAAGAAGTTCTTTTTCTGTTTGGCTGTAATTAATTTCGTGATCGTTCATAGTGCGAGAAGCACAAGCAACTAGTTTCAACATGTTATTTTCATGTTGCTGAAACATGCAACAACCGATTCCGTTTTTAGAAGCATCGCATTGAAGGACAATCTTTCTTTTTGGATCAAATGGAACGAGGGCTGGTGCTTGACTTATAATTTGTTTCAATTTATCAAAGGTTTCTTGGTGTTTCGGCAACCAGCACCATTCAGAATTGGATTTTAATAATTTATATAAGGGATGCATAATTGAAGACATATTCTTTACGTAACGCCTAACGTAGTTGAACGAACCTAAAATTCTTTGCAATTCGACTTTATTTTTAGGGATTTCTAATTTACATAATGATTCGATTCTATCAGGGTCAATTTGCATTCCTATTTCCGAAAATATTTGCCCCATAAACTTGACTTTATCTTGGCAATATTGAAATTTATCTTTATTAAATTTAGCTTTGACTTGTCTTGCTCGCGTTACAATTTCGAGTACAGCTTTATCATGTTCTTCTTTTGTTTTGCCTGATACGATCATATCATCATGACAAATTTGTACATTTTCTATGTCTCCGAAGTGTTTTTCTACTTCTTCCTGAAAAAGGTCTTGAGAGTTTGATAAACCGAAAGGTAATACTGTGAACCGAAATATACCGAAAGGAGTGGCAAAACAACATTTCCAAGAGGATTCTTCGGTTAAAACTAAGTGATGATATCCTTCTGATAGATCAAAAACTGTAAAAAAAACTTTTATTTTTTAAATTAGAACATATTTCTTCAATATTTAATCCAACTGAAGGTTTGCGAACTATTTGATTGTTTAAATCAGATGGATCAAGACAAAGTCTAATTTTACCGCTTGGTTTTTCAACAATAACCATTGTATTCACACTCGCGTTTGGTTTCATTTCATCTACTTTACTAATAGCTTTTCGATCAACTAATCTCTGTAATTCCGTTTTTAATTCATTACGTATTTTAATTGGGACTTTAGTTGGAGGGTGGCATACAGCTTCGAAATTTTCTTTAGTTGTAATTTTATGTTCACCTGGAAATCGACCATATCCGTTAAAAATGTCAATATTAGTTTTTATAAAATTTTCTTTTTCTTTATTGTCGTTTTTATTATTGAGATTTACGTTATTAATTCGTTTAATTAGTTTTAATTTTAAACAAGCCTGGCCACCTAAGAGAATCTGATTTGCCCCATCAATAATAACAAAATCTTCATATATTTCTTTGTTTTTATAAATACAATGTAAATTACATATACCGATTGATTTTGCTTGTGATCCTTCAAAAGCTTTTAATACATATTGTGTTGGCCTAACCTTAAATTGTTTATCAATAGTCCTGAATAAATCTAATGGTATTACACTGACGTCGGCTCCAGTATCTAACCTAACCTTAAATTTTCGGTCTTCTATTATTATCGATTCGTTCCACGTATTTACTGAATTAATCTCTACTTTTTTTCTTTTTGATATTCACATTGTTAACAATGTTTTGTCTACAATCAAATGTTCTTTTTTATTCGACATTCGAGTTTTTTTTATAATTTGTTTGCTTGTTCTTACCTGAATTTTGTTTCTTTATATAATTTATTTCGGCTTCTTCTTCTTGAAATCGCATGCTTTGTTGTTTACTTTGTTCACTCGTCCAACAAAAGTTGACAGCCTTGTCCATCGATAACTGGTCTATTCGTAGAAGAGCCTCGCGAGTTGTTGGATCCTTGATTCCCATTACAATTTTATCTCGTAATGCTTTATCTTCATTTGACTCGTTAGGATCAATCGTGTTGTAGTTGCAACTTTTTACAAGATGTCGACAATCTGTCAGAAAATGTTCAAATGGTTCACCTTCTTTTTGGATTCTTTTCAGAAATGTATATCTTTCGAAACATTCGTTGACTCGATGATTCACATATTTCTCTATTATTTCTAACATAGATTTATACTTGTTCGTTTCATTATCTGGTATAGCGAAGGTCGACATTGTTCTAGCAGCATCTATGCCGATAATATTTCTTAAAATTGACAGTTTAACTATATCTGTTGATTCACGTTGGCCTGTTGCTACTAAATAATCTTCAAAAGTGGTTTTCCAGAATTTCCATTCTGCTGCAGCATTCTGCCCTTGAAGATCAAAGTCAGGTGGTAATTTTACAGGACCTCCCAATACATTTGCCATTTTGTTTTTAGGTTATATTGCAGAATATACTTTTACACTTAAACTTGTGTTCAATAAATTGTTATATTATCCTCTTATGTACTGCGCCATGTTTAAATGTATACTTGTTATTTATTAATAATAATGTGATTACAGAATAATAGTAAAGCAAATACAAAGAGATGTGAACATGCACGTGAACACGTATATACAAAAGACATAGACGTAGAGACATGTAGATGGGGGTCTCGCAACACGGTCTCAAGCACAGCACACACTCCCCAAAGCATGTGGTCGCTATGCGCACCAATATTCAAACACGACCTTCATCCTTTTTTCGAATAATTTCCTCACATTTATTAAATGCTCTGCAAAGCTCCGTGAATTTATTAACAAATCGTCGACATACGTAGTCAAAAACTCTTCAAATTCCGGCCCGAATACTTGACGAATCGCCCGCATAAAAATGGCGCCAGCCGTTTTAAGTCCCATAGGAATCCTTGTGAATTGATAGCATTGACCTTCAATCACAAATGCCGTATATTGTCGCGAGGCCTTGGCCAATGAAACATGGTAATATCCACAAGTCATGTCAGACAAAAAAACATGCGTAGTACCGTGATACTTTTGGGTAATATCAGCGATAGCAGGGGGTCCCTCTTGATCACCCTCGATCATGGTATTCAATCGTCTCGCATCTAAACATAACCGTATTGTACCATCCCTTTTTCCACCGCTCTTATCGGATTACATTGCGCGCTATCTGACTTTTCTACGACTTTCGCATCTAATAATTTTTTCAACGCAATTAGCGATCCACTGCGACGCGCGATTGTAATTGAATATGAAGATCTTATTACCGGTCTTTTTACTGTTAATTTCAACTCATGTTCGTATCCTACTAAACATCCCGCATCTTCAGAAAATACCTCCCGATATTCCAAAACTAAGTCGATTAATTGTTTCAAATCATTTTTACCTAATTTTACAGTCTCGCGAATATGTTTAATTATTTCATCATGTCCTATGAAATTAACCTCGGCTGTAACAGAAATATCTGTTTTAAAATTTTTTAAAAATCAAAATGAAAACGTTTAACGGTTAGAACTTAAATATCACTTTAAAAAAAATGTTTCTTAATAAATTGTAAAATTAATTAAACAAATGTTAAAATTTTTTTTAATTATTTAGTTTTTTTTAAACTATAAAAGATAGTAAGGAAAAGCTTTGTGTTATAAAATAATAATGATTACAACAGTATTTTCAGTTGGTCCATTTTTAATAAAAAATAATGTAAAAATTAAGCATTTAAAAACTTTTTATCAACATTGCTGTTACAAATGAAAAATAAAAAAATAACAATTTTTTCTTACATGCAACATTCAAAATAAATAAATTCTTTTCGACATATTATAATGCTGTAAAAACGCAGTTGCTCACAAACACAGAAACTTATTTAACCATAGTCAGAAAGAAAATGTTAAACATAAGTAGTCGCAACATTCAAAATAAATAAATTCTTTTCGAGATTTTATAATGCTGTGAAAAACGCAGTTGCTCAAAAACACAGAAACGTATTTAACCGTAGTCAGAAAGAAAATGTTAAACATAAGTAGTCGCAACAGTAAAAGAATATAAATTATTTTCAATATATTATAATGCTGTGAAAAACGCAGTTGCTCACAAATACAGAAACTTATTTAACCGTAGTCAGAAAGAAAATGTTAAACATAACTAGTCGCAACAGTAAAAGAATATAAATTCTTTTCAATATATTATAATGCTGTGAATAACACAGTTGATCACAACCATAAAAACTTATTTAACCGTAGTCCGAAAGAAAATGTTTAACATAAATAGTCACAACAGTAAAAGAATATAAATTCTTTTCAATATATTGTAATGCTGTGAAAAACGCAGTTACTCACAAACACAGAAACTTATTTAACCGTAGTCAGAAAGAAAATGTTACACAAAAGATAAGGACTAATGAGGATTTATTATTAAAATAATATCTTAATAATATCCTTATCTTTAGTCGCAACATTCAAAAAACATAAATTCTTTTCGACATAATATAATGCTGTGAAAAACGAAGTTGCTCAAAAACACAGAAACTTATTTAACCGTAGTCAGATACAAAATGTTAAACATAAGTAGTCGTAACAGTAAAAGAATATAAATTACGGTCTAATTTATAAAATAGACACAGATTACTTTTTATCACTTCTGAGAGTGACAATTTATTACAATACTCAATATTACACTTTAAAGGCAGGAATAAGACTGAGTTGCAAAAACGTTTTGCAGCTCATGTCGAATATGAAACAATGCAAGTGGAGATATATATATTTGCTGACTATAACAGTGGCACGTTTCAAAAATTCTTACTGCTGCTTTGAGCGTTCTAGAAGTTTATTACGGTTATCTGTAAATTGCTTTACCAACATTTCTTTGACAATTTCTTTTAATAATAAATCCTCCTTAGTCTTTATCTTTACTCCAATGAGTAGTTCAAGTGGAGAAGTATTTGGGCAATTCCACGTGAGATTTTAGTCGACCCCTTAAAATCGGCCAAACATATTTGTTTTCTATTCTGTATCGAAAAAAAACAGATACGTATTTTTTCAATTTTGTTTAATTGTCTAAATTCTCAAGTTATGAATTTTCGAAATTTTGGACTTTTAATTGTAGACCTATATTCAGTAGCTTATAAGTCCGAAAATATTAAGTTTAGGAAAAAGTTGTCAGAAAATAAAAGTTTTCGTTTTCTTTCGACTTTTAAGAAATGTAAACAAAAAAATTTTTTTTTATAAACAAATTAATTTTTTTTTAACTTTGGGCCAGATTTTTAAATATTTTTTTTAAATTTATTTATATCTTATAATATAAAGAAGATTTTCCAAAAAGTCCCGAAATGGGCCTGATGTGTTAAATGAGTTTTAAAACATTTTCAAAAATCACTTGCAAGCATCACAGTGGGATTTTTTTACAATTAACTTTTTTAAACTGTCTACAGCGTATAATTTTTAATCTATTTGAGTGTTCTTTATTTTAAATTAAAGGGTCTACTCTGTAGACAGTTTTAAAAAGTTACTTGTAAAAAAATCCTACTGTGATGCTTGCAAGTGATTTTTGAAAATGTTTTAATAACTCATTTAACACATCAGGCCCATTTCGGTAGTTTTTGGAAAATCTTCTCTATATTATAAGGTATAAATAAATTTTAAAAAAATATAAAAAATCCGGCCCAAAGTTAAAAAAAATTAATTTGTTTATAAAATTTTTTTTTTAAATAAAAAATTAAAAAACAATTTTTTGTTTACATTTTTTAAAAGTCGAAAGAAAACTAAAACTTTTATTCTTTGACAACTTTTTCCTAAACTCAATATTTTCGGATTTATATGCTACTGAATATAGGTCTACAATTAAAAGTCCAAAATTTCGAAAATACTTAACTCGAGAATTTGGACAATTAAACAAAAATAAAAAATACGTATCTGTTTTTTTCGATACAGAATAGAAAAAAAAATTTTTGGCTGATTTTAAGAGGTCGACTAAAATCTCACGTGGAATTGCCCATTTATACTTCGCTGGTAAGTTGAATTCAGGGTCTGTTGTAGTCGATCTACATGTGTGACAGATTATTTAAATTAAAATAATTTAATGCATCTTCTGCACAAGACAAAAAGCAATAAACACATAAATATACAAATGAGAAATCCAAGGGGAAATTCCGCGACGGCCAACCGACTGATGCTTGACGGTGAGACAGAAACGACTTGAAGAAAATCAAACTGGACTTACCAACGATGATCGGGAAGAATCGACAGATAATTGACACAGCACAAATAACTAAACACCAAGCAATTAACTCGATAGATCTTTATTCAATAAACTCGAATTTGGTAATTAAAGAATTAACTTAACAAAAAGCAAATCAAAATGATAAAGGAGAAAGCACTTAATCGAAACGGTCGACAAATTACAACTGCTCGTACGAAAGGCACCGGCGGCTTCTCCCTATTCGCGACTCTCTCACTCTCACGGTAATCATGGCCTCACTCCTCTTCGTCACTCCTATGGACCGCGACACCTGTAACAGAAAATCGGGAGGAACCGGAAGGCCTCGGGGCCAAACACACAAACCAACGCAAAACCTCTAATAATCCCAAACGAAAATAGATGGCAGCAACAATCAGGAAACCAAAAAGAAAAATAAATACTGAGGGCCACGGAGCTGGCGCTCTTTCCAAAATGCCGTACGGGCCGCAGTAACCAGATCAGGCTGAAGCCCAAACAGTGATTGCTCCAACAATCGAAGGTCACCCATAAGGTCTCCCACCAAAGGCCCAACAACTTGCTCTCCAACAGCTTCATCTGAATTGTCCTTAATCGCCTCTGCCTCAATAGGGGGCACAATAGCAGGTGGATCAGGGACAACAATGGCCCTCTCCAACATCACCTGAACCTCCTGAACTCGTTCCGGAGCTTCTGCAGGCTCAAACACAACGTCCTCCACTTCAACTGTGGCAAAAGAACTTTCAGAACCTCCTCTAGTCAAGGCCCGAGGAAGATGTCCAAAACGAGCAAAATATACCCGCGAACAGCGAGGGCAATCTTCAATCCTAACGCCTCAACGGCCACAATTCTTGCAGAAACAACCCATTCGCTCCGGACAACGGGCCAACTTATGATCGTAGCTCTAACAATTAAAGCAGACTCCATAAGGTGGGTCAACTTCAGGATCCGTCCTTATATGAGTCAGTCCCCGGAAAAATCGTCCGGCAGTAATTGGGGAAGGACAGGCAAAGCATCCAAAGCCAATCCATCGGTGGGCCGGGCCACGACAACAGCCGCTGGCACACCAGACCGGACCAAACCCGAAGGTAACTCACGGTCAGGTGGCTCAACCCCGACCTCCATCGTGACGACCTCAAGACGTGGTGCTTCATGCACGGTCTCATCCAATTCAGCCACAGCACAACGACTTTCCCACTCCTCAACACTTTCACCCTTGCAACGAACTAAGGCCGATCTTTTTTCTAAAACGGGCCCAACCTTATTACCACTTGGTCTCACTCGGCCGCGTTCAACCGGACCAAAAGTAATTCCACGGCCTCTTGAACTAGTGGCCAGAATCTCCGAACCATCTGACGACGAATCGGACACATCCTCCAGTAGTTCGCACTCCTCCAGGGGCTTTGCCTTCACTGAGGGCTCATCAGGTCGAACGACATTCGAACCAGAGGCCTCCAATTGGTCGCGTAAAGTTGGTCCGTTCCTGTGATCAGCCTCAACACGAGAGACCATTTTCTCCAAAGACATCGCTCTCTCAGTGGTGTTAAGGTTACCCATGTTCCGTCTTGGAGTAACAACAGACATCCACATTTCCTGCACAGGGCCCACAAGTTTAATCCTTCGAATGACCGAGCGGCTGACGGATTTTCCTTTAGTAGTGGATGACATGGACCAATCTGAAAACAATTCAAAAATTAATAACTATTAAAGTTTAACGCGAGGAGGTACATAACGTTTAAGATCAGATACATGAACTTTTGCTACGCGACGCTTATTTTCTGACCCTAATTCATAAACGGATGGCGACAATTGCTTAACAATTTCATAAGGCCCTTCAAATTTCGGAGCCAATTTTGCCGAGAATCTGTTAGCATCATTCGAAAGTTTGTGGGTGCGCCACAAAACTTGATCTCCTACATGAAAGGTTGCTTCCCGTTTATTCCGATTATAATACCTACTTTGCTTCTCGCGCTTTTCATCAATGAATCTCGCGACCAAGTCCCTAAGAGCGTCCAACCTGCTCAACCTATCACACCAAACCTGGGGGTCAATTTGCTGAACCACAGACCTACCTTCGACCTCTCTTCTCAAACTTTTCACAGGTTGAGGTTGTCGGCCATAGTTCAAAAAGGCCGGAGAAACCCTAGTAGACGACTGCACGGCCGTATTAACCGCATGACGGAACTTATGGGCATGCTTGTCCCAATTCCGATGATCTTCGCCCACAAAGGTCGCAATCATAGTCTTTAAGGTCCTGTTACTTCGTTCCACTGGGTTTGCCTGGGGGTGGTATGGCGGCGTTGTCAGATGTTTGACCCCATAGTCCTCCAAGGTCGATTTAAGGTGCTGGTTATCGAATTCTTTCCCGTTATCTGTTAACAGAAAATGCGGTGTGTCCCATCTGAACACAATCAACTCCTCAAACGCCCTGGCTATGGACTTGCCATCAGCGGACCTAATTGGCATTACTTCAATCCAGCGCGAAAACAAGTCCTGGAAGACAACCAAATGCTTGCACTGATTATTACTGGACGGAAACTCCATACAGTCCGCTGCGACCACAACCCATGGTTGTTCCACAATTCTTTGACCCATTAACCCTTGAGGTCCCTCTTGTGAGACCATAAACCTCTGGCACTCAGGACATTCGCGAACAAACCTCTGGACATCGTGCCAAATACATGGCCAATAATATTCGGCCGCTATCCTGGCATAAGTCTTCTCTGTCCCCAAATGACCTGCCGCAATTTCGGAATGGGCATCCTTGAGAATACGGTTTCGATGCTCCTCTGGGACAACCAACTTCCAACCTTGTTCTTCACCCGTAACTGGTAACAACAAGGGATCGTTTCTATGACGATACAACAATTGGTTTTCCACCAACCATCCTGGGAAACGCTGTGGAAACTTTTCCACCAATTGTTTTCTCTTGATATACCACGGATCATCTATGGTGCTGAAAGCTGACATTTCATCCGCGTCATCCTCGTACATACGTGTAAATGCGTCCGGTACGTGGTGATTTACACCTCGACGATGCACAATGTCAAAATCCCACTGTTGCATCTCGAGTGCCCAACGAGCCAAACGACCAGATGGATCCTTAAGATTTCTGAGCCACCTCAGTGCACTATGATCCGTTATGGCCTTAAACCGGTAACCCTCAAGATAGGGCCTAAACTTTTTAATGGCCCACAGAAGTGCCAGGCACTCACGCTCAGTGACACTATAATTTCGTTCCGCTGCTGTCAGGGCCTTACTTGCGTACACTATTGGGTGTTCGCCATCCTCAGACTCCTGAGTCAAAACCGCTCCAATCGCTGAGTCACTTGCGCCACATTGGACGGTGAATGGCTTCATAAAATCCGGACGAGCCAAAACCGGGGCCGAAATCAACTTTTTCTTCAAAGTCTGGAAAGCCTCCTCATGATCGGCTGTCCATTCCCAAACTCTTCCTTTTTGGAGAAGCCTCAAGAGTGGCACTTTAATCTCACTGTCATTCTCTATGAAACGAGAGTACCAACCAACCATTCCAAGAAAACGCCGCAGCTGCTTAATATCCTGGGGTGCGGGGTACTCCAAGACCGGTGCCACTTTTTCGGAATCGGGCCGTAAACCATCCTTGTCCAAAACGTAACCCTAATAAGTTACCCGAGAGCAACCAAATTCGCATTTGTCCGGGTTTACCACCAAACCAGCAGACGCTAATTTCTTGAGCACTGTCCTCAACCATTTGATGTGCTCATCGTAATCATCAGTGACAATTATGATATCATCAAGATATCCAAACACCACAGGTTCAAATTCTGGACCAAAAAGTGAGTCCACAAACCTCTGGAACGTACCGGGGGCGTTCGTTAACCCAAATGACATTCTCTTGAATTGAAAGAGACCCAAACCAGGAACCGAAAAGGCTGTGTACTTCTTACTTTCCACAGACATCGGTACCTGATGGTACGCCATCTTGAGATCGATTTTAGAAATATACCGGGCTTTCCTTAATTTATCCAGTATAAAATCGATGCTCGGTATTGGGTACACGTCCCTAATTGTCACTTTATTAAGGTCCCGGTAGTCAAAACACAATCTAAGTGACCCGTCACTCTTTTTGACCACCACCGGCGCAGTGCTCCAATCACTTGACGCTGGCTTGATAATGCCTTGGTCCCATAATTTTTGTACCTCCTTGATCAACCACTGCATGATCATTGGAGACATTCTCCTCGGCCGATGCTTAATCGGCGTGTGATCAGTCAGCCTAATGTTATGTTCCGTCAATGACGTCACCCCATGTTCCTGACCCTGAGGAAGGACCAATTCATTTACCAAACTTTGGACCTCGTTTCTTTGGCCCACGGTAAGCTCCGAGATACCTGCACACTCTGCAACAATACCTTCTGAGTTACTTTCCCCATTATCCGACGCAAACTTATGCCATTCTTGGCCATTTATTCGTCAAGACCTTTACCAAGCTGGACATCCATATCCATTTCCCTACAAAAATCTATTCCTAAAATCAAGTCCTGGGTTAAGGTACTGAGGGCTTTCAGTTCAAAGGACTGCGCATATCCATTGACTGTCAACAATAACCTTAATTTCCCTAATGTTTTAGTGGATCCCCCTATAGCACTTTGGATCGCTGTATCCGCTTGCTCTAGTCTTTCTCCAAATTTCGCGGCCAATTTGGGACCAATTCCTGACACCATTGCCCCTGGATCGAATAACGCGTAATACGGCCGATCCGCAATGACTACCTTTAAAAAGTATCTATTTTCCGGTCTTGTCCCATCGACAATTTCATTTGAGTCGGGAGAGCCTGCTGTATTCACTACAGCTTCTCCCTTCTCCTGGACTTTACGTGTTGAATCTTTTTCAACACTCTTAGTCCAACTAACACTGGGGGCCTCATAAAAAATTTCCGAAGCAACTACAGTTTTATCTCGGCCCACTGAAAATGAGTACTCCTCATTCGTTTGGCCAAATTCGCTACACTCATTTTCGGTAACCACAATAGGCGAGCCATTATTTCCACCAGAAACATTCCAAGTCCCGCGACGACCTGAGCATGGTTCCCGCCCTGCTATACCGGATGTGCCCAATTTTTCGCTGACACATTTTTCACTTGTTGAGAGTGAGTTCTCCTCACTCGTCCAACACAAATTCCCAACATTTGAGAGTAAGTTCTCCTCACTCGACACACACGAATTACCCACAAAAATAGGTGAGTCCTCCTCACCAACAACACAGACATGAGATGGATTAGAGAGTGAGTTCTCCTCACTCGGCAACGAATAATCCATTTCTTTGACACTCAAAAACACTTCATTTGACGCTACACTACTTTCTCCTACAGGAACCCTATCTTTTGTCCCTATTGTTTGGACTGGGGGGGAAGAAACTGTTTTGTCCCCCCCTTTCCCGTTGCCCAAATAATTTCTCAACTCTAAGCATGCTGGACACTGAGCAAAAACTGCTCCCTTAGTCCCACAAACCTGACACGAAACCCCAACCTGTTCCTGCTGTCTGCCAGGATATTCTGAAGCAAAATGTCCCTGTTGCCGACAACTGAAACAAATTCTGTAAGGACATTGGGACAAACGATTGCAACCATTGACAACCATTGCAAGTGCCCAAAAAGGGACCCTGGCCATTGCCCTGGTTTGGAACACTAGGCTTAGGCCTACCTTGCTGGGGTAATGCACTAGCCATCTGGCCGCCTGGTGCACTGGGTGGGGCCCCGGTACCCACAACTTGAGAATAAATTACCGGTTGAGACGACCCCGGAGCTGCCTGCATTAGCTTGGTCCACCCTCTGTTTGGTTAGCCTCCTGCAGCTCCCTTGGGCCGACCCTGACCCAACCCAAATGCATCAACTGCATTTTCCTTGTTATCAGTTGTTGTTTCCTGTTCTTTGGTTTTGTTTTTAGACTTCTTTACCCCCTTTGCCTTCTTACTACTCTTATTACTCTCAGACAAAGAGCCCTCGGTTAAAGCGTCCAATTTTGTCCCTTTTTGAACACTCTTGGGTGCTGCCGACGGAAACCTCATCTTCTCCTTTGCCGGGGGTGGAACATATCTTTTGTCGATGTCCCTAATCCTTTCATACTTTCTCAACACACGCTCTAAATCGCCAATATTCTCGACTTCAAAACCTGCTATATACCTTCGATAATCCGGTGTTAGCCCTCGAAATACCACACGCAAAAATTTTCTGGCTGAGATAGGATGCCTAAGATGATCAGTTATTGTGCGCAAGCTCATTATATATGTTGAGATTTTCTCTCCTTTAGCCTGAGTACGAGCTTTAAGCTCGTCCAAAATGTCCTCATCATCGAGAACGCTAAAAAATTCTCTCGAGAACGCTTTCTTAAATTGTTTCCAAGAAACAATTTCATTCCTCGTTACCCCATACCAACGGCTTGCTGCACCGCGTAAAACAGAAGGGACCGCCTTAAGAATCTCCTGACCAGAAATACTCTCACCCGCCATACAATCTTCCAATCGGTTTAGAAATTCTTCCGGGTCCTCTCTATCGCCCGCCGAAAACTTAATTTCCCAATCCCTGAGCGTTTTTGTTATTTTCGAACTAAACCCATGGTGGTGGTGATGATGGCCCTTTGTTGGCCTATCTCCCTTTTTATAAGAGTCCACACTCAAGTCTGACCCTGAGTCACTA